AAAGCTACTCATCCCCCCTGTGACAAACAACATCAACTTCTCAACGACCTCAACAACTACTTTGCAAGGTTTGAGGCACTCAACACCACTCCAGCGAGGAAATCTATTCCTCACTCCGAAGCAGCCAATCAGCCTGGACGCAGCTGATGTCCAGAGAACCCTGAGGAGAGTGAACACCCGGAAAGCAGCGGGCCCTGACGACATACCGGGACGGGTGCTTAAGGAATGTGCTGACCAGCTGGCTGGGGTTCTCACAGACATCTTCAACACCTCGCTGATCCAGGCTGTTGTACCTTCATGTTTAAAGACTGCTACAATTATACCAGTGCCTAAAAAATCCACAATCTCCTCGCTCAATGATTACCGCCCTGTAGCACTAACCCCCATCATGATGAAGTGCTTTGAGAGGCTGGTAAAGGACCACATTGTCTCCAGACTTCCCCCCACATTCGACCCGTACCAGTTTGCTTACCGCCCAAACCGCTCCACAGAGGATGCCATCTCCTCTGCACTCCACCTGGGCTTACAACATCTGGAAGAGAAGGACACACATGTGCAGATGTTGTTTCTGGACTTCAGCTCAGCGTTCAATACAATCATCCCGCAGCATCTGGTGAGCAAACTGGCCCCCCTTGGTTTCAGCACCCCCCTATGTAACTGGCTGCTTGACTTCCTCACAAACAGACCCCAGTCTGTGCGGTGGGCAACAACACCTCCAGTGTCATCTCCCTGAGCACCGGCTCCCCTCAGGGCTGCGTCCTGAGTCCGCTGCTGTTCACCCTGATGACCCATGACTGCTGCGCCAGGACCACATCGTGAAGTTTGCAGACGACACAACAGTAGTGGGCCTCATCCGTGACAACAACGACATGGACTACAGAGAGGAGGTGAAACATCTGGTTGACTGGTGCAGAACCAACAACCTGACCCTGAACGTTGATAAAACCAAAGAGATCATCGTCGACTTCAGGAGGCGCCAGCCCAGCCACACACCACTCCTCATCAATGGCACAGCAGTGGAGAGAGTTAGCAGCACAAAGTTCCTGGGGGTGCAGATAACAGACACTCTGACCTGGTCCCTTCACACCGGCGCTCTTGTGAAAAAAGCGCAGCAGCGCATGCACTTTCTGCGTCGGATGAAGAGAGCACACCTCCCTCCTCCTATTCTCACCACCTTTTACAGAGGCACTATAGAGAGCATCATAACAAACTGCATCTCTGTCTGGTCCGGAGCCTGCAGTGCCTCCGACTGGAAGTCCCTGCAGAGAGTGGTGAGGACGGCGGAAAAGATCATTAAGACTCCACTTCCTCCCATCCAGGAGATCGCAAAGATCCGCTGTCTGACCAGGGCTCAGAAAATCAGCAGAGACACCTCCCACCCCCACCAAGGACTGTTTTCGCTGCTGGACTCTGGAAAGAGGTTCCGCAGCCTCCGAAGCAGAACTTCCAGGTTCTGTAACAGCTTCTTCCACAGAAAGGGGTCGGGGCGGGGAGGCGGAGCTAAAGTGAGACCCCCTGCTCGTGCGCTGTCGCTCTACCTTCACTTACTCTCTCATTTTTAATGAGGGGAGAGACTCAGCTGCCTCATGCCCCCTGACTGTCTTCAGCAAACAGTGTCCACGGACTCCCAGTTCTCCCAGTAATGAGATCATGAAAATCTTCTTTCATTGAATGATATTTTTTCATTATATTTTTAACCAGAGAGACAGCACAGTCTAAATTACACAAATCAGTCACGTTACCGAGACGTGTGCATGACTCAGTCTGCGAGTTTAGCCGATTAAAAACAGGAAGTTATCCATTACTCTGTTTCTGTTGCCATGGTGTTGAAACTACACTACAATCAAATCGATGTTTAACAATCTTCAATCGTGGCGACAACCCGACGTGCAGATTGTGCCCGCCTGTCCCAAACAAGCCTTTGTAAAAATCTGATTGGTTCAATAGTTTGTCATTTTCTCTCCGTGGCTCAGAATGTGAATAGTTTGGAGCTTCTTCTCTGATAAACAAACAAACGTACCGGAGCTTCTTAAAGATGCTGCATCACAATAAAAGCTTTTATTTTGAAGGAGCTGCAGGAACCAGCTTGTCCGTTTGAAACGTCTCAGCTGTGAGAGGAGAGAATCGCGTACACTGCTCTTTGCTCAGTGTCACGATGTATTGAAGAAGGAGCAGATGTTTTGAGGAGCAGCAGCGTGCTCCTCCTCACCTGCTTCAGGACAAAAAGGTGGATGTGTGAACACTTCCTGTCAATCACAGCGGGGTCTGAATAACGAGCTGCGGAGAACACGACCCGGTTTGGTTTTGAAGTAGAAACAAATCGTTCCGTCTCCCGAAAAAGAATCTGCAAAACATCTTAAACAGCAGCCTGTGATTGGAGACGCTTTAAGGGAAGCAGAATGTGGAGACTTGGTTTGATTGACAGCTCCAGGACGTGATGACTGCAGGGCGTTCTGCTGAATCCAAAGGACCAATCAGAAACACAGAATTCACAAGATGTTATGTTGTCATCTTCATTTGACCTGCAGATAAAATTATCCTCATGCCAGATCATCTTCACATCACAAACTTCTCTTTATTGGAACTCGAGTTACCAAAGAAACATTCATTTAAAGAAAGAAAACTTTTCACCACTTTAGAAACAGCGTCACTCTGTCACTCCCAATTCACACACACTCCGTGCACGCCGCGGTCTGTCAGCGCCGCGGTTTTTGCTCCATCGGGCGGCGCACTCTGCCCCCACTGGATCCTTCACAGGAGAACTACTCCGACTACGAGTGATGGAAAATACGATCAGGAGTCCGTATGTTGTGTTTTATTTTGAAATTGACAGGGCGTTTCGTGGGTTTCCTCGTCTGACTTCCTGTCCAGCTTGACGCGTGCCTGCAGCGTGCTCCGTCAGAAACAGACTCACAGCGTGTTTGAAACGCGGCGCTCGCTGTGGAAACACGATCATTGAGTAGAGTGGCGGTGAGCTGCGGTGTAGTGCACGGCGCTGACCGTGCACGGCGCTGACCGACCCGACGCTCTTGGAGTACGTGGAAACGGGGTAAGATGCTGACAGCTCACAGAAACATCAGCTCACAGCTGCTGGAGGAACAATCTCCCCAAAGAAAGCTGAAATGTGAAAAGTGATTTACTAAAGTAAAAACCTCGGTGTCATGATGGTGAACGTGTTTCTTGAGGTCCAGGGCGTCGCTCTCTTCTTCTTCATGTGTTTGAAAATAACTGCAGGGCTTCTTTAAGAGTTCTGTGTGAAGAAACTGTCCAAATAAAACATTCTCACAGCATGTGATGCAGCACCATTCACTTTTTCCTGCACCTTCTTCTACTTTGTGGCGTCTCTTTCTGTATAAAAACATCAAACAGGAAGTAGAGTTCATCAGGAGAAACTGTTCCTGCAGGCTGGGACTTCTCCCAGTCTCTGCCGGTCTGCACACTTTTGTGTTGAGAGTTCCACCTACACCAGTTTCTGTTTCTTGCGAGCCTGAAACTGCTCCGTTTTGCTTTTAATCGACTTGACGAGCATAGACAGACTCGGGTCCATCGCTTTCTTCGAGGTGAGGTCGACCGCCGCCGCGGCGTCACGGTCCTTTTCCCGTTTCTTCCCCGCCACCTGCTTCCTGTCGGCTCCCTCCCCCTGATCTCTGAGCCCGTCCTCCAGGCGCCGCTGCTCCTCGTCTCTGCGGCGCTGCTTCTCCGTCAGGATGCTCTGCGTGGCGTTGGTCTTCTTGTAGCTGGGGTGGGAGGGGTCCAGGTTGAAGAGGTGGGAGGTGAACATGGCCTGGAAACGAGGGTCCTTCACATCCACCTGGACGCACAAACAGAGAGAGAGGGAGAATGTTACAACATCGTCATGACCACGATTTAGTCAACACAGAGCTAACAGCCTTCCTTTGACTCCATCACACCACGAGAGAGGGAAATGAACGTCTATATATTTATTTCTTCTTCAGGTCGACTGTTCATCTTTGAAATCAGATCAAAACACGTTAAACGGGACGATTGTGGTCAAAACAAAAGTTTGAACATTTAGCGGCCGAATGCTAAAGTCAAGTCCTGGAAACCGGAGGACATTCAGCTGGAGCAGCACGACCTGTGACATCATCACACCCACCTGGAATTGGTCTTCCTGCTGAAGCTCCTCCCCCTTCTTCTTCAGCAGCTTCTTCTTCTTCTGGCTCAGATTCTGCTGCTCCACGATCTTATCGTAATTAAAGTGTTTGTGTTTGGCTTCATCGCCCTCGTCCTCCATCAGCAGGGCCATCTCCGCCTGCACACACACACACACACACACACACACACACACACACACACACACACACAGAAAACAAACACACACACACACACACACACACACACACACACAGAAAACAAACACACACACACACACACACACACAGAAAACACACACACACACACACACACAGAAAACACACACACACACAGAAAACACAATCACACACACACACACACACACACACAGAAAACACACACACACACAGAAAACACAATCACACACACACACAGAAAACACACACACACACACAGAAAACACAATCACACACACACACACACACACACACACACACACACACACACACACACACACACGTTGAGATGCTGTCTTCAGGTGATATTTACAGATGTGATAAACTCACGTGGAGCTGCAGCCATTGACCTCTGACCTTTTGTTTCTCCAGCTCTTCTTCCTCCTCAGCGGTGCGCTCCTCCTCCTCCCCTTTCTTCTTCTTCTTCTTCTTCTTCTGTTGCTTCTTCACGTCTGCACACACACAAAACAAATCATGACCTGACACGCTGCAGAGCTCTGAAGATCAAACAATTCAATTCAGACACGTTAGAGACACGTGAGAGCATGAATAAAAACCAGGAAGAACACTTCAGGTTTACATCCCGAGACATCTGAGCTGTTTGTTCTTCTCACAGGTAACAAGACGAGGAAGAAGAATGAAGCTTTACTCTTCTATGTTGACCTTATTGTTTCAAACTAAACTCCATCACTGACAGTCTGTCAGCTGAGTTTATAAATACAGAAAATAATTAAATTCTGAACAATTCCAGAAACCACACAGGCCTGGTGGTGTCAGACCACTCCTACAGGACTCTCCTGCTACACTGCTGCAGAAACAACAGGTTTCCATGTAGACCTCTGACTGCTGCTATGACACACAACGACCACTAGATGGAGCCCAACATGAAGAAACAAGAAGTGATCAGTTCTGTTCTGCTGCCACAACAAGCACCAAACTCTCCTGATACATGAGAGTGACTGTAATAAATGAACTCGAGTATCTTATTCACAAAGAAGATACGACGACTTTAATGAGACTCTTCCTCTTCTCAGATCAGATCAGATCAGTCTATTGAAGCTGGTATTTCACAACAGCCCTGTGACTCAGAGGGAAGAAACAAGCTGCAGTTAGAGGAGGAGCCACAGCTGAGGGAGGAGAGCTTCAGCGTCACTCTGAAGAAATGAAACTTAAAGTTTGTCAGGGTGTCGACCACGCAGCCGTCCAGAAAGGTCTCCGTTTCTCTTCAAAGAAATTAAACTAACTTCATCCAATCTTTGTCAACGACACAGCAGAGTCTCTGCAAACACTGGTGAGTACAGCTGATCATATTTACACTTTGAACAACCAGGATTTACACTCAACTCTTCATTTCACTCTCTCTTCATACTCCAGCTTGTTAAACTGTGTGTGTGTGTGTGTGTGTGTGTGTGTGTGTGTCTGTAACTGAGATTCATTCATTTGGACTTGAATTCATTTCTAACTTCCTGATATCGTTGTTGTTCACTGATAACATCCTGCAGCCAAACTGAATTCTATTTCCTCTGGCTGTTTCACAGTAAAAGCTTGACATGGAGAAACCACAATGAGGCTTTTAATTTGAAGGAAGCAGAGAAGGAAGTGAAATTTGTCAGCAAAGATTTGTCAGCAGTAAAATCCTACACTAAGAATCTGTCTGCATAACAGCAAAGTTCAAAATCAGCTGTTTCACCAGCAGAGGGCGCTCTAGCTTTACAATGCAGCAACATTGATCTTTGTTGTTCTCAGCTCGGTCAGAGTTAAAAACTGCACATTCATTCAAGATTACTTCACCAAAGGGGCGCTGGTGGTGCAGTGGTTAGTGCGCGCGCCCCATGTATGGAGGCTATAGTCTTCCAAGTGAGCGTCCCGGCCTTTCTCGCATGTCATTCCCCGCTCTCTCTCTCTCCCTGATTTCCGACTCTATCCACTGTCCTATCTCTCAATTAAAGGCACAAAAAGCCCCAAAAATAATCTTTAAAAAAAGAAAAAAGATTACTTCACCAAATACTAAAAGAACATGAATTATTTCTGTCCCATAATTTGGACATTAGGAGTTGTTGGACAAAATACAGATACAGCGATATATTGTCGTCCTGAATCGTGAAACACAATTATCACATCACTGGTCCAAACCAGGGTGACCACATGTCCAGATTTGACCAGGACCGTCCCCTTTTCAAGTGTCCCGAGTCCCCACAAATATCTACAAAACACTAGTAAGTCCCAGTTTTGAACAGTCCCTGTCCCGGTTTTAACCGACCAAAACAACACACCATGCTTGTGACACTGATTTGTCTGTACATGTGTCAATCAATCTCGGAGTTGCAGCTGTCGCTTAGCTAGCCTAGCTTATCATGCTAACGGGACCTGCTGGGTAACGACAGGTAGGCGAGCTGTCATACTGAGAGGAAGTCAGCGTTTTCCAAAGAGCTGCAGGAGAGTTACAGCTTCCTTTGAAAAGTACCAGCCAATGAATAAGCTGCGTTTTACAATCTACTTCAGTCAAGCAAACGCCGCTGGCAACCAACTTAAACGAGCTGCTCAAGAGGAAACCTTTACCTGCCATCGTGTGTGATCAGTGCAGGTCACCGATCTGTGGATAGATGCATGTGGGTTTGCGGTAAAATTAAAGTGTCCCGATTTGGAGCTTTAAATATATGCTCACCCTATTGTTTACATCCAAGCAGTAGAGTGAGGAGAGAAGGCCCATTAACGAAGCTACAGGATCAGCTAGTGGCTGTTGGCTGCATTACACCTTAGACTCCAGCATGGGGAGCCAACATATGAAATACACACAGCCATGTTTACACACAGCCTTCTTCCAGGAGTAAACGTTGGTGCGTATGGCTGCAACTGCTCTCAGAGAGATCTATATTTCTGTTTGTCTGATGCTGTGCTGCTGTTGTAATACCATCTGAACTACAGCTCACTCCGCCAACATTTGTCAGAGATCGGTATACATGACAACCAATAAAAATCCAGCCTCATCAGCCGGACAAGTAACCTGTTTCGTGATGCTCTCTCCGCTGCCAAATCTGTATATTTTGCTAACCTCATCAGGTCGGTTGAAGGGAAAACAAGAACTCTGTTTTCCACTGTAAACACCATCTTGCGACCACCTGATATTCTCGCACCTATACTCCACTGCCCACTGTAACACCCTCATGACCTTTTACAATGCGAAAATCGAAAATATTCATCAGCAAATGTCCTCCATAAAACATGTAGCAGACAGTCGCTCTTTCCAGCCTCTTCAGTTTTTAACTCCTAACTAATGATGATATTTCTAGTATCATTCAAAAATCCAAATATTCGACCTGTAACCTAGATCAAAGCCTGTCTACCCTCTCTGTCCTCTTTAATAACCGACATCATCCAGGCCTCTCTCACTTCTGGTCTTGTTCCATCATCTTTCAAAAAAGCTGCAATAACTCCGACAGACTAGCTTCAATCGGATTCACTGGCACCTCCCTCACCTGGTTCAAGTCATATATCTCCGGTCGCACTCAGTTTGTTCATCTCAAAAACTTCAGGTCGCATATCTCCCCAGTCACTATACCTTCAAATAAAACACACCAAAACACATTATTATATATTTGCCTATTCTGTCCCTTCTTATTATTGCTGTTTGTGTTTTTCTTTAGTTGATTGCGTTCTTGTTTTAACCTTTGTCTGTAAGGGGATCTTAAGTGACCTGAAAGGCGCCCATAAATAAAATGCATTATTATTATTATTATTATTAAGTACAAAATATGTGTTTGGTGGATTCATAATTCTGTTGCAAACTAGCGATGATGACGTTTAAACGTTTAGTCGATTAACCCGGCACATGACGCTGAGCACAACATGCAGAATAACCTCAGCAAATCGAGTCTGAACTTTAGAATCAGGCCTGCAATACGCATGGTTTTTTCATTCTTACCAACACAGGGCTCCACAGAAGGATGTACTCGCATCATTAACTGAACATCTGTAACAAACTTTGATCAGTCAATCCTTCATCCCTTCTTTCCAGTTTCCAAACAATAAATCATGTAAATTAATTAAATCTTATTCTTTCTTTCACTCTGTGTAGATATGGCTGCTGCAAACTATCATTGGTCTGAGGATCAGTTTCTCTGCTCCATCTGTCTGGATGTGTTCAATGATCCTGTCACCATACCATGTGGACACAACTTCTGCAAAAATTGCATCACTGAACACTGGAACACCAGCGACCAGTACAGGTGTCCAATGTGTAAGGAAGCTTTTACCAATAGACCTAAACTGAGGGTCAACACTTTCATCTCTGAGATGGTTGGTCAGTTCAGAGACAAAGCTCAGCAGGAAGCCAGCAGCAGCAGCAGCAGCTCAGAGCTACAAGAGTCCAAACCAGGAGAAGTTCTATGTGACGTCTGCACTGGACCCAAACTGAAGGCCCTGAAGTCCTGCTTAGACTGTCTGGTCTCCTACTGTGAGACTCACCTGGAGCCTCATCTGACAGCTTCACGTCTGAAAAGACACCAGCTGATCGACCCTGTGGAGAACCTGGAGGACAGGATGTGTATGAAGCACGATAAACCTCTGGAGCTGTTCTGTAAGACCGATCAGACCTGTGTCTGCATGCTCTGCTCTGTTTTAGACCACAAGACACACGAGTTTGTTCCTCTGAAAGAAGAATATGAAGAAAAGAAGGCAGAGCTAGAGGAGACAGAGGCTGAAATTCAGCAGATGATCCAGAAAAGACGACTGAAGATTCAAGAGATCAAACACTCAGTGGACCTCAGTAAGGACGATGCAGACAGAGAGATGGCAGAAGGTGTTCGAGTCTTCACCGCTCTGAAGGAGTCTGTTGAGAGAGGCCGGGCCGAGTTCATCGACACGATCGAAAAGAAGCTGAAAACAACAAAGAAACAGGCCGAAGCTTTCATCAAAGAGCTGGAGCAAGAAATCTGTGAGCTGATGAAGAGGAGCACTGAGGTGCAGCAGCTCTCACGCTCTGAAGACCACCTCCATCTAATCCAGAGAGTCCAGTCTGTTAACTCTGCTCCACCCACCAAAGACTGGACAGAGGTTAATGTCTGTCAACCACTTTATGAGGAGACTGTGAGGAACGCTGTGGCTCAGCTGGAGGAGACTCTCAGTGAAGAGATGAAGAAGTTGGTTCAAGCTGAGCTGAAGAGAGTCCAGCAGTATGCTGTGGATGTAACTCTTGATCCTGATACAGCACAACCTAATCTCATCCTGTCTGAAGATGGGAAACAAGTTCATCTTGGTGATGTCACAAAGAATCTTCCAGACAACCCAGAGAGATTCTCTCTTTGTGTTAGTGTTTTAGGAAAGCAGAGTTTCTCTTCAGGCAGATTTTACTTTGAGGTTCAGGTTAAAGGAAAGACTGGTTGGGATTTAGGAGT